TTTGGTTTCTCTCTCATTCTCTAGATAAGAAAGATGAATTGGAGATTCGACAACCGAAGATTTGGGTCAAGAAGAGATGAAAAAAAACTCCATATCCGTGGCTTAAGTGTATTATTGGTGTTGACTGGTGGTCCAATGATCATCAAATTGTAGGGGTCTCTTAGATCCTGAGAAATATCAGTGGACAAGTTTTACTTTACAACATATACAATGTTTCTCGGCCATTACTTACCTGAATGAGGCTAAGAGTCAGGCTCACCTTTGGGCTTTTGAGACTATGGTGTCTCATAAAGTATCTAAAGTCATTTTTGGATCTTGCGCTTCTGAGTTTGTAAACAACTCTTGAAAGACCTCAAGTTTGGCCTTCTTTTTCTTGGCATGGTTCTGAATTGTTTTTTATTCCGACTCGTCTCTCTGAATGGAAAATGGAAGCTAAGAGTACCCAGTTTTATCAAGGTTTTGTGGTTGATTGCTCATAGTGTTGTTAGAGATCTCAAAGGACATTCATATGTGGCGAGATCCTTTGTGTTTACAAGATTTTTTTGGATAGAGAAAGTTGCAAATAAGTTATATGTAATTTTTCTGGTTGTTTGAATGTGGCTTGGTGCTTGGAACATTGGCTTGTTGTAGTCTATGTTTCTTTTTAAATAGCGGTGTAATTCAAATGTTTTTTTTTTCTATATATTCAGATGACAAAAAAAATAAAATTTGATTGTTCATATCCTAATTTAAAAGACACATAATGAAAAAGAGAAAACCAGAAGATTGCTTCGTGTTGGGGACGATAGAGTATTGATCTCGGGTCGGTGAGCTTCAGAACGACGTGCCGGAGTGTTGTTCCCAATGAGCTTCTGCTTTGTGCACCCGAAGAATTCTTCATTATGAGAAAACTTTATGTCTCTTTGATTTAGTGTATAATTAATCGTCCATGGGAAAAACTCTTCAGATGAATTCTTTAGTGTTTAATAGTCATAAAGAGTTAAGGGGGTGTATTTATATTATTGAAAAACATATTTTTTTTGTTTGTTATGTCCGACAAATTCATATAAATCTAAAATTTATTTGATTTATCGTATTCTCTATAAATCTAAAAGATCAATTTTATATTTATAACGTATTGAAATAAATAACATTTACATATGTTTTGATCAATTTACAAATAAAATATTAAAATTGATGGCACTAACATATGTTTGATCAAAACTATTCAACTTTATTACATTTATGCACGATAAATATCATTTTTGTACGTTTACAGATATTATAAATCATATATTTTGTTATACACATTTAAGTATTAAAAATTA